AGGGTGGCGCGACCGCGACCGCGATGGACGGGGCGCTGGTGGCGGTGCTGGTGGTGGCGGTAGCGGCAGCGGGCTCCATGACGGGAGGCGACGCGGATTGGGCAGGATGAGGATGTGGTTTCCCCACAGCACGCTTCCCGCCAAACATGACACTACCCCGGTGGGAGAAGGTTAATTGGGTGAGGAAGTCATCCTCCAAAAGGCTGTCGGTTGGGATGGCGGTGGTGATGGGAAGAAACTCGGGATTGTCCGATTGAGCTTGGGAGCGTGGCGGAGATGGCGGGCAGGGATCTTGATTGGCCCCGCCCCCAAGACCTGGCAGCTGCGAGGAGCCCCGCGATTGCGGCAGGGATGTGCCATCACCCCCGGTCAAGGGCGACGACGGGGCGTCGTCGATCTCTTCCGCGTCCTTGGATAGACTCTTCTTCCTCAGCCGGTTCGGCTGCTGTCCAGACGACGCAGGCCGCAGGCTGAACGCTCTCGTCATGGTCCTGCTGGCTGCACGACTAAAGCTCACGGGTGGATTGCCCGTCGGCGACGACGAGCCCGGAGCAAGGCGCGGGGGTGTTGGGATTGGGGCGGCCCTAGGGCTTTCAAACAGGGCATGGATTGGACTCGGGATATCGGCGGTGGAGAGGGCGCGGTGCGCCGTCTCGTGGCTAATGCGGGTGGTAAAACTGGTGGCGCCGCCAAGGATGGAGACAGTGGGTTCCCGGACGTTGAACCTGGCAAAAACGGCCGGGTCGTCCTCACACTCCTCGTGGATGGTCGAGGCCGGGGTTGCAGGGGCCAGCACCGAGTCGCGCTTCCCGTCGTCGGCGGCGGCCGCAGCTGAAGACGACTGGGCGTGGTCGCGGGTGCGGAAGGCCGGATGCTGCTCGTTTGGCGAGATGGGCGGAGGTGCCACAATGACGGTGGTTCCCGACGCGACAGAGACGGGCCGGGTTGTCGTCCTGGCCGGGTTCCGGGGCGGGACGGGAATGACGGGGATGGGTGGCTTCGCCTGGAGAGTGTGCTCATAGCGGAAGGCGACAAGGGAGGTGTCGTCGCGGAAGGGGGCGATGCGCGCGGCGGCAGGCTTGTTCTTGTACCGCAAGCTCGCGCTGGTCAGTTTGTGTGGCGCCATGGCCGCGTGCGTGCAATCGGCAGTCGGCAGGCGGCGCAGGACACTGAGCGACCGTCCACTGATGGCCGTGCGGAGGCTAACAGGTAGCTCAACCACCACTGTGCCCCAGGAACGCTGACGCGACAGCAACCGAGGGACGCTGGCTTATGCGTGCGTGCGCTCTTGCAGATTGCACTTCTTTCCTTGGTCCTCGTTGGGCTATTTGATGCGGTTATCTAGCGTGCGTAGCGATCCAGCGATGGATCGATGATTGGAGCTGGCAGGGCCAGCAGTGGCAACCCAGATTCAACAGACAGGCAGGCAGGCAGCTCGGAGAAACAAACCCACGGTCTCGACCTGGTGAAACAAAGTACGAGGCGGGTTCTGGAGCGGCAGGCACGGAGCAGGGAAACAGCGAGGGCGAAAAGAAGAAAAAAAGTAAAAAACGGGTTCGGCGGGTGCAGCGCTGGTCGGGGACTTCGATGTTATTGTATGGGA